AAAAAGCTACCTACGTACCGAATTTTAAGCAAATCGGACCGTAAATATAATTTTTTCAAATAGATCGGTGCCTGGTCCACTTCTCGGAAAAAATGGATCATATATGCTAATACATGCTAAAAAGCTACCTGCGTACTGAATTTTAAGCAAATCGGACCGTAAATACGATTTTTTCGAATAGATCAGTCCCTGGACCACTTCCCGGAAAAAATGGATCATATATGCTAATATATGCTAAAAAGCTACCTACGTACCGAATTTTAAGCAAATCGGACCGTAAATACGATTTTTTCGAATAGATCAGTCCCTGGTCCACTTCTCGGAAAAAATGGACCATATATCCTAATATATGCTAAAAAACTACTTACGTACCGAATTTTAAGCAAATCGGACCATAATAAGATTGTTTCGAACAGATCGGTCCCTGGTCCACTTCTCGGAAAAAATGGATCATATATGCTAAAAAGCTACCTACGTACCGAATTTTAAGCAAATCGGACCATAATAAGATTGTTTCGAACAGATCGGTCCCTGGTCCACTTCTCGGAAAAAATGGATCATATATGCTAAAAAGCTACCTACGTACCGAATTTTAAGCAAATCGGACCGTAAATATAATTTTTTCAAATAGATCGGTGCCTGGTCCACTTCTCGGAAAAAATGGATCATATATGCTAATACATGCTAAAAAGCTACCTGCGTACTGAATTTTAAGCAAATCGGACCGTAAATACGATTTTTTCGAATAGATCAGTCCCTGGACCACTTCCCGGAAAAAATGGATCATATATGCTAAAAAGCTACTTACGTACCAAATTTTAAGCAAATCGGACCATAATAAGATTTTTTCGAATAGAACGGTCCCTGGTCCACCTACACGAAAAAAAGTTAATTTTTTTAGCCTAAAACATGGTGGTTACCGAAAGCTATTTATATACAAAATTTCATGAAAATCGGACTAGCCGTTCACGAGATTACCTGTTACAAAAAAAAGGGACTTCTCTTTATATAATTAGTATAGATGGCGCCTACACTTTTGCTGGGCCGAGCTTCCCCTTGACCTTGTGGACAGTTTTACACCGCCTCAGCATGGCAAATTGGTTTTATTAGAAGTATTTTCATGGCAGAAATACACTCGGACGTTTGCCATTGCGAGATGTTGATGTTGATCGGACCAGGATCGAACCCTAGTTCTACAGGGTGGTAATACTCACCTCTAACCACAGCGCCTTCTGCATTGCATATTGACCAAAAATTCGGACATAAAAAGCTGTACGCCATATGGGTGCCGCAAATGCTCACACTGGAGCACAAACACCGGGAAGATGTTTCCTACGAATGTTTGGTAATGTTTTGAGATGTTCTGAAAAAATGGCTCGGTTTCAAAAGATTTCCCAACAATGAATAGGTAGAGTCTGCGGCTAATAGCCATTTTGAGTAGCTTCATGGTTTCTATTATAAAGAAGGTATCGAAGCTATTGAACATGGTTGGGAAAAATGTATCGAGCTATGTTGAAAAATTTAAAATATTTTCGGGACCGCCCTCGTATGTATAATTATTTGAAATAATAGAGTTTTTTATGGAATTTATAAAAACAGTGCTTTTTGTTATATAGTCACTTAGTATATAAGTTGCTTACCTTTATATTTACCTTCAGCGCCGATAATCCAGAATCTTGGAGATTTGCGAACGCAGATCTGATACCTGCCACGGGTATTATGGTTTTTGGTGAGTAATTTTTTATAAAGAATACCCACTTTCCATATTGTTAATAACACATTTATGTATTGTAGATTTTTCAACTTTATTTGCATTTATTGATTCAAATGTTTCAATAGCATTTTATTGCTGAATTAGTACGAAAGTGGCATTACTTTGACTGCATTGTTTTTTTGGCATGGCTGCCACTAGTGATGGAGAACTATCGATGGGGCTACCGATAGTATCGATGATTTCATTTTGCCGCAACTATCGAATTTTTCTAAACACTATCGACAGTTGTATGTTGTTCACATTGTTGGAATTGGACTATGAAAGATGCAAATGTCTATATATGTATGTATGTTGTAAACTCCTTTGTTTGTAAACATGTTCTTCATGTTTTTTGTTATCAAATGTGTTATTGAAAAACACGATCTCATTATGTTTTACACAAGTTATTTTTGTGTATACAAATAATCTTTATGGTTTTTGGAGTTACGAAATGGGTTATTTAAGAATAAGATATATTTACAATTTCACCAATCAAATTTAAATTTGTCAGGCCGTTATAATTTAAAATGACGAAATTTTTAAGGAGATTGTGCTATTTGAAATTTAAGTTTGATACATTTAAAATTGATTGGTGAAACCGGGCATTAGTGTTATATCTCAACATATGTAAGAAAACTTTCGATAGTATCGAATATTTCGTACTATTACTATCGGAACAATGGAATGTATACACTATTGATAGTTTTCCAACACTAGCTGCCACATGCATACCGCACACATTCTTCACAAGCGTATTAACTCCAAATTTCTCGTTTTTCAGAAAATATGCAGAATTGTTGACTTAATAACTGTTAATTATATTAACAAAGGCAATTTTACGTACGATTTTTTCCACAAATTATAAGAAAATTCGCTTGAGCTTTTCAACGCGCTCACCCCGAGGCTTAAAAATAGAATGCTTACTTTTTCACTTTTCTTGGCTTTTATTAATATTCCGTAACAATACTTTTAGTCAAAGAGCCAGTGAACACTGCATGTGATTTACCAAAGCTCAAATTTTGTTCAGTCGAGCCCTAATACCTCCTACTTGGAACGGAGACTAACTAAGCCCGGCAGCGGTCAATACGGCGTCACGCAGGTCGCAAAGGTAGAAAATTTAGACCAACTTGGAAAGTATTTTAATAAGTCTGCAATTTAAGTTTTTTAACATCCAATGTTACTATTATTCGAAAATAATAACGGCAGACAATTATGGCGTATTTTAACAAATCCTAAATTTTATTATTTTACTTATTATAGTATTTGTAGCCTGTATTTATAAGGGCAGACATTCTGTCCGGTAATAACATCCCGGCAGAAAACGAAACCTAACTAGGTATACGAGCACACGTACAAATATAATGTACACTACACTGATACGATAGAAAAAACTTTGCAAATTTAAAAGCTTACTTCAAAAGGATTTAGCGGTTATAAAAATTTTCGTCCTTGGCGAGTCTCAAAAATACCCAAAACCCTGGTGAGTCCAAATGAAGTTTTCTTCATAACTGTTTTATATATTACTCGGTTCAAAAGTGTGATGCATTGTTGGAAAGATTGTTTTGAGTACTGTATATGTTTCTCAGATCATTTTACCGACCATGATTCGCCACGTAATGCTGATGTATTTTTAATAGATGCCTTTTTTATCTTACATTCAATGGAGGAAGTGCCTAAAACATTTGGAAATATATCTAAAAAAATTGTACAAATAGTTACAAAATACTCAGCTCAAAGAATCGACGTCCATTAAAGACAAAGAACGATCTCTGCGACATGAAGCACCACAAAAAAACTACACAATTTCAGGGCCTGATCAAGTAAGACCAACAGATTTTGCAAAAGAATTGAAGAACACTAAATTTAAAGAAGTTCTTATTGATTTCTTCACTATACATTATGCAAGTAATGAGGTTACACAATTTATCGGTAATAAATTGATTCGCCTGAATTTTCGAAATTGTCCTTTTATAAAAATATTGAAGAAGGAGTTGAAACGAGTATTGTTGAAGACCTATGCTGTAATTCCCATGAAGAAGCGGATAGTAAAATTATTCACCATGCATGTAGTATCGCCAATCAGCCTAATATTGTAATTAGGGGCTCTGATATTGACATTTTAATAACACAGGTCTACAAAAGAAAATCCATGAAAGGTTCCTTTGACCAGACCTAGTCTATTGTATGTTTTTGGGGTCGCTGAATACGAATCTGAAGTCCGGTTTGCTTCATCACGTCTGGATTTTTTTCTAACCTCAAAAAACATCTCGGGTTTTACGTGACAGAGAAAATCCGAGGTGCCTTTTGAGGTTAGGAAAAAATCTAGATGTGATGGAGCAAAACGGACTTCAGATTCGTGTTCAGCGACCCCAAAAACATGTATTAGACTAGGTTTGGTCAAAGGAACCTTTCATCGATTTTTTTTGTGGACTTGTGTAATCATGCTTGAGATATGAATTCGCCGCCCTGTTCTCTACTGCTAAAGAGTAGTAGAGGATGACGTATATTCTCTACCAGTAGAGAAATAATCGGTAAAGAAAAGTTACACAAACGAGCTACTGCTTATTGGGACAGGAAATAATGAGAAGTTTATTAATGTCTTTAAAATATATCAACAGCTTGGAGAAGTATTTGCCAAAAGCTTGATTGGATGTGATTTCAATCCTGCCTATTGACGTAGAAGACGACTTTCGTTTCGATATGGAGGCTATGCTGAAATGTTGTAGTTGCAATTTTTAGAGCTTCACGAAAATGTTTATTGCACGAGAACTAATGAAGCGATTTCAAAGAAAAGTAAGGCCTTTCAAAGATAGAATTCCAAACCTATCGACAGTTTCATTTTTGTAAGTAACCGATTCGGTGTCTGTCCTAGAAATAACGGTAAATATTGGCTTTTTTTGGGGTCAGTTTTGAGCGTTTAAAGTGCTCCAGCAGCTTATGATTTGCAGATAGTTATAACTTTTATTTTCGGTAAATATATTCTTTGGAGCAATAGAAATATTATCCTGTACAGATTTTATATAAATTCAAAAAATATTGAGCATAATAGGGCAAAAAAATTTAAAAAAAAATTTTCAAATTTTTTATTACCAAAACGCTCGAAAACCGCTCGAATGATTTTCTTTTTGTTTTCTTTAATAAAAAAAATTAAGAGTTTTTCTTTCGTTTGGTATACGGAAAGTATTAGCTGATATATACAGGTATGTTTATTTGATTCAAATATTTGGGCATAAATGATTTCCCATACAAAATCATTCCGTCATCGTTTTGCAAACACGTGCATGCGTTGGAAGTGAGGGAAAGAGACAAAAAGTATGTAAGTACATATTTCAGCTTTTGACAAACAGATGGCGCAATATTTATAACCTAATCGCCGCGTATGTACATACATATGAAAATGCATACATACGTGCTCATGTTGATTGCAGTTAATGTGGATCTGTTGCTATTTTTTTGTAATCTATGTATGTCTATACATCTACTATATATTTGTGAAAGTATGTATGTATGTACTCAGGAGCGAAAATGGTCACCGGTGACATCGTCACTAATGAGGATTTAGTGACATCGTTACACTTGCTGTGATTCCTAAACGACATATAGCTGACAATAACACTGGTGACAATGTCATGCAGGTGTACTCCTATCAAAGACTTATAACAGTAACAGACGATGTCTTGCAGCGGTCACTTATAAAAAGTCCATTGCAAGATACTGTCGCTTGAATGTCATTAATGATCACTGCATGACCAAGTCATGCAGATGACATCAACGACGAAATTACCATTTATATGAAAAAGTCATGAACGACTTCCATACAAACGGAGCCCAAAGTGATTTAAGACGTAACTTTTCCGTACAAGACTATTAAGTGACGAATGCATGACAGTCGCTACGGGGTATGTATGTATGTATGTGCGAGGTTGTAGTCTAAACGGACGGACAAAATCGAACAAAATTTTGACAGAGTATTGCCATGACACCTGGGGCTATAACAGGGTCAAAAAAATTGGGATCCGACAAAGGGGCGTAGCACCTCCAATAGGCGTGAAATTTTTAATCAGCCATAACTTCTACACCATAAGTCACATGAACTTGAAATTTGGTATGCAGGCATGCCAATGGTAGATGCTTATAGGTGGGTATATATAAACGGGTTTGTAAAAGGGGGCGGGGCAAATCCCATAGGCGTGGAATATTTATCAGCTATATCTTCGGAACCATAAGTCACACCTAACTTGAAATTTGGTATGCAGACATATCAATGGTAGGTGCTTATATGAAGGTATATAAACGAATTTGTAAAACGGGGCGTGGTACATCCCATAGGCGTGGAATCTTCATCAGCTATCACTTCGGAACCATAAGTCACACGAACTTGAAATTTGGTATGCGGTCATATAAATGGTAGGTGCTTATAGAAGGGTATATATAAACGAGTTTGCAAACGCGGGCGTGACTCATCCCATAGGCGTGGAATTTTTTATTAGCTATAACTTCGGAACCATAACTCACACGAACTTGAAATTTGGTATGTAGACATATCAATGGTAGATGCTTGTAGGAGGGTATATATAAATGAGTTTGTAGATGGGGGCGTGGCACATCCCATAGGCGTGGAAATGTTTATCAGCTATAACTTCGGAACCATAAGTCGCACGAACTTGAAATTTGGAAAGCAGGTTTTGCTATGGTAGGTGCTTATAAAAAGATAAATATAAATGAGTTTGCAAGAGATGGTGTGGCGAACCCCATGGGTGTGGAAATTTTTATCAGCTAGCTATAACTTCAAAACCATAAGTCACATGAACTTTAAATTTGGTATGCAGACATATCTATGGTAGGTGCTTATAGTAAGGTGTATAATATACACTGTATATGAATGAGTGGCACATCACGTAGGTGTGGAATCAGCCATAAATTGGGAACCATGAGTCACATGAACTTGAAGTTTGGTATTCAGACCATGGTTGTTG